CGGCAAGCGCAGATGGCCCGCGGGTAGGTTTGCGTGAAATCTATAACAAACAAACAATGATATCAAACACACAACCCACTCCTCAAGTGCTTTATATACACCAGTCCCAGCATGATTGATTCAAGTGAATTAGTATATCTTTAAGATATTTATCTACAGGGCGGGAGACTAGGATAGTGATTCATAAAGTTTAAAATTTAATTCGCATTTGAGAAACACGGATATATCTATTTTAAAGTTATTTTCTGAGAAAAGATGATATGTTGCCAGAATATTTTATTTCTTTTTAAGTGCAGTTCTTATATTTAATTTTCAAAGAAATATCTTCAGAGTCTGTGTTATCGGATGACTATGCAATTCCTCCAGACGCTATCTCATCAGATGCCTTTAGTATTGATTCTGTGGAACCAAATTCTGTTAAAAACCTACCTGTCACACAGAGCTACAAGAAGGAACGGGTGAGTTTTTGCTACTATACACCAATAAAACTGTACAAAATACAGTTGTTACTATATGAATAAGTTTTTTGTAATATTCATTCATTCACTCATATGTTTATCGTTTCATTTACTACGAGGAAACAGTTTCGGCTATTTTTCAATCAATGTTCAATTGCAAATAGTGTAATCAAACTTTGATATTATTTTAAAACAACCTGCTGGAATGTTGGTTAGTTAGAGGTGCCAAAAATGATGTTCTATGTATGGAATTTCATTTCTGTTTATGTTATATGTTGAAAATAGGAACCTAAAATCTGACTACCACCATTAGAGACACACAAGCACAGACACTTCAGGGTAATAGTGGTATTAATTCTCTCAATATTTGATGGACGATTTCATCTCACTGCGAGTTTACTAGACTGAGTTATTTACTTTGTTCTAATTAATTCGTTAAAAATTTTAGTCAAGACCCTACTATCGTTCTTGTAATGTATACTTAATACATGAACAAGATACTAGTATTGCTCTTGTAAAATATACTTAATACATGAACAAGATACTAGTATTCCTCTTGTACAATATACTTAATACATGAACAAGATACTAGTATTCCTCTTGTAAAATGTACTTAATACATGAACAAGATACTAGTATTGCTCTTGTAAAATATACTTAATACATGAACAAGATACTAGTATTCCTCTTGTAAAATGTACTTAATACATGAACAATATACTAGTAGTGTTCTTGTAAAATGTACTTAATACATGAAAGAGATACTAGTAGTGTTCTTGTAAAATGTACTTAATACATGAAAGAGATACTAGTAGTGTTCTTGTAATATATACTTAATACATGAACATGATACTAGTATTGTTCTTGTAAAATATACTTAACACATGAACAAGACACTACTATTGTTCTTGTAAAATATACTTAACACATGAACAAGACACTACTGTCGTTCTTCTAAAATATACTTAATACATGAACAAGACACTACTATCATTCTTGTAAAATATACTTAACACATGAACAAGGCATTACTATTGTTTTTGTAAAACATGCTTAACACATGAAAAAGACACTATTGTTCTTGTAAAATATACTCAACACATGAACAAGACACTACTATTATTCTTGTAAAATATACTTAATACATGAACAAGACACTACTATTGTTTTTGTGAAAGATACTTAACACATGAACATTTTTTGTCGATGAAGATAAAAAGATCATTTACTTTTATATCTGAATTTGTTGTCATATTCAGAATGTGTTAGAATAGCCGTATGACAAGCATTTTTGTAGTTTGTTAAATGCAGAATGATAAATAAATAAAATTTACAACTTGAATAAATATAATGAATGGACTAGTTAAATGTATGCCTTGTTCTCTTGCTTAATATTGATTTCTCACTAGATGGTCTATCTAATATGTTAACAATATAGCCATACATTAAACCTAGAGAAGAATTAACTAATACAAGTCGAAATGCACTTATTATCATAGCATACATGAATTTTTTAACGTAGCTTAATTTCATAATTTGTTAAATATGTAAATATACTGTAATGAAATTCGTTTCATATGTTACTTGACACATTTTCTTTTAACTTTCTTTGGAGTCTGGACATTTTTCAGATGATGAAAGCATTAGAAGTTAGGTGTTGAGTGATAAAGGAAATTCAGTTTGCGTTAATGAATTTCCGTTTTCTAGACTTACATAAAAAAGTTATTTAACTAATAATATTTCTTCTTGGTTTTTATAACTGAAAATTAAGACCATCTATATGTTCTTATAAATCTTAATGCGCTGTCTGGGATATTTGCTTTCTTTTTTTTATGAGTTTCTTTGAAGACATTTATAAAGATTTTGTTTAGTCAAAAGTATATTTGTCTAGACGAAAGATTCTATAGAGAAGAGTGGCTACTTAACAAAGTTAGGAGGGAAGTTCAAAACATGGCGGAAACGTTGGTTTGTGTTGAAGAATGGCGTCCTTAGCTACTATAAGACACAGGTAAGATGTTATGAAAATGTAACAATTTTGAATACAGTGACAGACTGCAAAATCAGTTCAAGCTTTTATAAAATACTAACGATTTCACTAAAGAAATTTTGCTGAACCACTCTTTTCTGGTGAATTTATTTTGCTTGATGTATATATATTACGTAATTTAAACCATTGTAGTTAAAAGTTTGAACAACACTAACACTGCATGCATAACACATAATATATAGTTACTTATTACTTCGTGTTTGAATGGAAACTCGTTGTTATCATCAAGACTGCTAAGCATCTGAGACATGTTAATCGTTGGTGTGCATAAAATCATAAACAAAGTATGTATTTATTAAAAATCCAAGCGTCAAATTGAACTGTTTCATTTAACACATCATTTAGCTATATTAAGTTCAGTGTGAAAAAGTAAATGAAATATTGCTTTCTGTTTAGTTGTCACCTAATCTTCAAGAATATCGTTAACAAAGCTCTGTTAACGTTATGTTTACTTGTTTACCACTAATGTCAGTTTTCAGTTTATGATTTTAAGCAAGAAGAAACGAACAAAATCCCTCATTATCTTCATGTATATTTCTGTAGTGTGTAATTCAAAACGTTTTAGATAAGACGTGAAGTATAAGCTAGTGTCTACTTTTATTGTTTTATTAATTCATGTGCTCTTTATTCCCCGTGAGTTTTGTCACAATCCCAGTTTCGTGTTTTTAATTTCACTTAATGAAATCAACAAATAATCACAAATATTAGTTGTGAAAAATAAGACAGCAAGATACTTAGAAGGTTTCCCATGTTTGACTTTACAAGTCTTATGACTAAAGGCCTGAATAATGAAATAAATGAACGAAATTCTACTGACTCTGATTAATTCGTTATAAATGAGCTCAACCTTGTGTTGGTGTGTGCATTAACATAATTATGATATCTACCTGAAATAAACCAACACATCTAAAGGCATTCAAAAGTTGTGAATGTTTGATACTTTTACTAAAATGGAATCCAATTATCTCCCTAATTAATACTATCTTGACTCCATTCAACTGGTGTAGTTATTATGAATTATCTGATGGAAAGTGTGCATCACATATTTCTCTGGATAATACCCGAACCATGATGGATCAATAAGTAGGTTTAAGAAGCTTTATGTATTTGCCTTAATTTGAACATTGCAAATTTTGGAATTAGTTTGTACATTCACTTTATTGTTGATTACAAACATATGAAAAATTCGGCTCTCGGGGCGTATGTTGAGATATAGTATTAAAAGTATTAGAATTTAGTGTGCAATCTAAATTATATCATAACTATAAGCTGCTAAACCGGGTCAAGTAATTCACTATTAAACCACCACATCTCATAATGACAGAAGTATAGTTAGCACATATGTACATGTATAAGCGTTTATCTAACTCTTACGCTTTTAGTGGCACCGATATTGTAAAAGTAAATGTATATTGTTTTAATCAACTCCGTAAAGTTCACTGTATTGACGATGTTATAAACACATATACATGTGTCTATGTTTGTCTAAACATCAGCAATTCAGTAACAGTAATAGTGCAGTGTAATGTCTATTGTAGAAAAATTATGTCAAAGTTTGAAGATACAATTTAAAATTGTACCTTTTTCTTATAATAAAATCTCCCATCTGTAATTAAAGAGAATAGTGAAAATGTAATGAAAGAATACTGATGACTTGTTCTTCGGAGTGAGAGCGGTAAGTCTATGGACTTACAATGCCAAAATCTAGAGTTAGATTCCCCGCGGTAGAGACAGCAAATAGTCCAATGAGGCTTTGCTCTGAAACAAACAAACACAACCTAGGATTATAAAATTTTGATCTCCTCTCCAGTGGTACAGCGTGGGTAACCACTCATGTAACTCTGCGCTTAACTACACACAAACTAATGACTGAATATTAAAGGGATATTTTGTTCTCACATATTTTATTTTTTGTTTTGTTTTTGTAATAATGAAAAATCACTCTTAATCTGGTAAACTGGTGTAGTTTAACGCCGAAAAACTACTTTTTGTGTTGCTTTGCTGAAACACGTTAGCAATTTAATGAAATAACACTTACTTTTGTCGAAACAAAACCATAGATATGAATTATTTTTAATTTGTAACAGCTAATCAATGAAAGTACCTTGCTATTTTGTTTTAACATATATTTTTCTAATAATAATAACAAAACATCTTTATGCATGACTATCATACGTTCTTGTGTATTCAAGATGTTTTTATGTCCATTTTATGATGTATATAAAAATAACACGTAAAAAAAATTGATATGATACCGTAACTGATCAAAATATTGCTGATGTGTGTAGTTGTTAGGTGGTCCTGAAGGAATTATTTACATAGTTATTAAAGGATACGATAAGAAGAAATTCGTAAAAAAAAACATTTAATTTTGAACTGTTACAAAGTACTTATTTAACTAAGTTAATAAAATTACCATTAACACAATTGAATAAAACAACGGATAAATCAGTATGTGAATTCTATAAATCACGCGTCTTAATATACTGTGTTTACAATACATTAGAGGGTAGTGCTTAAGCCAGCCCCCCAGTGGCACAGCGGTATGTCTGCGGACTTACAACGCTAGAAGCCGGGTTTCGATACTCGTGGTGGGCAGAGCAAAGATAGCCTTTGTGTAACTTTGTGCATAATTAAAAACAAACAAACAATGCTTAAGCCACAATTAAATGTAATGCAGTATTATAATACGTTTCTCTTTTTTCGCTATATGTTATGTTAGGACTATTACGTTGGCTGTAGTACGAATTATAAAAACGTGCTTATATATATATATATATACAAGGTGCATTTGAAGTCTACACATTTATAAGATGGCTCAAAAGTCCAACAACATAACTGCTGTTTTTCCACAGCAATTTCAATGTCATATAGCGACTCAAGATTAAAAAGAGGAAACAAATATGTTTGGTGACTTTCGATACTGTAAGTAAAATGAAAGCTAGGTTATTTCAAGCCGTATGATGCTTAATATCAAACAGCAAGTATTAAGAACGCACTAAACAGCAGAATCAGGAAATACTTTGCCAAGAATAAATCAAACACGGAAAATAAAGAAATAATGAAATTACAGAACACGCGTATAACAAAGAATAATAAAAATATTTATTCGCACAAGTAAAGAAATCCGGCTTTCCAGATACTACTGGCTACTGATTTAACTGCTGGAAAATGTAGGCTTCTTTGCCAAATAAAGAATACATGGATTGTCTCTCAACAAAGGACAACAGGAATGTGGATGTACCACATTGTTAAGTTGTCCTCGTATAGTGTCGCACAATTGTATATTGTCTACGTCAGAGACCATTTAAGGACAGATTAATCTACAGCTCATACTAACCTGTACAAACCTCTGTACCACCCCTACCCTTGGTTATTCTAGTGGCACAAGAACATAGAAGTACCAACAAGGATGTGTAAGCTCTATGAAACAGACAATGTGGTTGTAAGCCTAGCCTGAGGCGAATATTAATGGAAATTCACAGCTATTCAAACCGTGTCAGCTAAATGAATTAATTCTTTCTGAAACATTTGCTCAGACATAGTTAACTTAAAAAACAACAACATTATTTCCTAAGTTACTAGGTAAAATCTATCAGCAGTTCGACTGCTACACTTACCCCCTTCGTTGTCTTAAGACATCCCTAGACCATAACCTTAAAATTTAAATGATAAAGGTCCAAACTGCATACCTAACATAGTGCTAATTTTCAATAATCACCTCCTTAGCCACCTTAGCATATATTCCAGCACAGAGAGAGTAAATGTATTTTACAAGAAACAAGCCCTAACAACTGTAATTTTCACTAATCACCCTGTTCGGCCACATGTCCCTAAATGGCACAGCGGTTTCTATGGACTTATAACACTAGAATCCGGGTTTCGATACCCGTGGTGGGTAGAGCACAGATAGCTCATTGTGTAGCTTTGTGCTTAATTACAAACAAACAAAATAAATTGGCCACATACAAGATACAATAACAAAAACTCCCAGAGAGGGTAACTTTATTTTATTTAAAAAAAACGTCTAACAGCTATCCAAACTATATATCATAAACTTAACAAAACGAAATGAAAGAAACCATATGCAGAACCAAAATTGTCATGAAGCACGACAGTATTACAAAATAACTAAAATCGAATACAGAACTAAATCTATATAAATAAACGTCAATATGTGTGTGTATCTGTTTCATAATATTTTCTCTAGTACCAATGTTGTAATACCAATCCATTTATACAAATACACGTCAATATGTGTGTGTGTGTGTATCTGTTTCTTATACGTTTTCACATTTCTTGATCAATCAGCACCAAACTTGACACGGTGATACAGGATGACATGAGGGGGGGCTTGGATCTCCCATCTAATTTCATATTGATAGAATTCTTGAAATAATATATCTTTCTTTTCAGTATTGGCACCATTATGTATGTATATATATTGCACTTTCAATGTTTATTATCTTAACAAAAAATATAGAAGCACAACATCAAGTTAAGTTTAAAATCAATTAAATATAGTTAAATATAAAATTATACTATACACAATATAATTGAACATAATGCAAAACTAAAGTAAAATACACTCGAACTATATAAACAAGCTCAGGAGAAAAGAAAATTTAAACATAAAACATAAATCGGTTTACAAACTTAAAATTGCTTATAGTGAATGTTTTTGTTTATTTTTGTTGTTAAGGGCAATGTTACACAACGGGCTATTTGTATTATGCCCACCACGGGTATATCGAAACTTGATTTTTAGCTGAGCCATTCGGTGTGTGTGTGGGGAGTGGGGGGGGTGGGGGTATTTACAATGAAATAGAATGGAATATATCTCAAAATGAATATTGATTCAAACTGAAATAATTTATAAAATCCACCTAGGCTCAGAATTACTTAAAAATAATACAACCAGGAAAATACATCGAATTTTACTTGCAACAGACACAAGAGAAAGCCGGCCAGTTGCTTACCTTAATATAGTAAAAATAAATCAAAATATAAGATAATTTAACTCAAAATTAGCTAAATTGATCTATAATTAATTACAGCTCATGATTATATTAAGACATAATTAATTGTACTTAATGAAACTCACTTCAAAATAATAAAAACTAATTGTTATTAGACTTAGCAAAGGGTTCATGATAAGTAGAAGAAACCTAATAAATTAAAGGTAAATTCTGGTTGTCTTTACATAAAGCAACATCCAAGTTTACTTAGAAGTAAAAGTTGGAAATATTTACTTAGCACCTCTAGAAAGATGACAGAAGTTGTTGAGGTCCTCAGTTGATTTCTGCCTTTCAGCCTCTTGAGGTGTATTTCCTCCTGGTTCAGTTGGCAATGTTTTGTCACCAGCTGCTGGCCTCCTGGGAAAGATCTTCCTTGGTAATGGTCTGAGTTGAGTTGGAATAAGGTACAGGCCTCCATTCATTAAGCTGCCCGAACCTGGCTGTGTAATACCAAAGAAGCATGCACAAAATAAACTCTAAAAACTAAAATCATTAGACACAGCACCAAAATGTAATTTAATAGCTTCGTGTATGGTATTCAAATTCACTGACATCCAACAGAGAAGTATAAAGTTCTGAAATGAACAGCAGATTCAGGAAAGTTTTTCAGAGACGAAATCTAACATAGATAGCAGAGGAAAGAATCGAGCATAATCATGCAAATAAAAGAGACACTGAGTTCTTACTATACTAAGTGGCTTCTCGGTTATACCTGCTCAGTGGTTTGATTGCAGGAGCAATAGAATGCAGATATTTCTTCAGTAAATGAAGTCTATACAGGTATTTCTATAATTTGACAAGGGAAGAAGGAATATGTCTGTATCACACCACAATGTTAGGTCAAAAAAAAGTTCCACAACAATATTTTCCCTTATATTCAAGGGTAAATTAATCCCCAGCTCATACTTAGTCATGACCCAATCCACTTAGTCATGACCCGCAACCCAGAAGATCAATGATAAAAAACCATGACCAAGAATATACAAGCTGTATGAAATGAACATGATGGTATATGATTCTAGTTGAGTCAAAGTTTAATGGTAGCGTACGACTATCCATTCCCTTTTTATAAGAATATCAGCTAAATGGAAAACAACTGCACAAAAAGAATAAAAACTTTACTTGAAAATGTCAAAATGAAGCTATTATCTTTCTTAATTTGTGAAAAAGTAAAATGCTGTGAATACCAACTTTAGCTCAAAATCATTATATATGTTTCAAGCATATATATATACAAGAACAAGTATTAATGTAAAATATTATAAGGTTTACTTCCACGTTCATTTTTATAGTCAGAGGAGCCTTATTTTGTTGTTATGTCTTCAAATAATCTTTTATGAGTTAATTGTATATTGAATGTATTATGATTCCTTAAGTGTCCTTATAAACCAAAGTTGATGCTTGTTCTACAAAAATACTGTCTTACCTAATAACAAACCGGTTGAAAAGATACGAAGTCTAACTGTACTTACTTGGGCATTCACCCAGCAGGAAAATTAGTTCACTGTGTTTCATTTTGAATTAGTGCTGTGCAAGACTATTGAACCTTCTACGATGAAATTATCTTTCACATATTTTCTCAGTTCTAGCAATATTAAAATTTCAGAATTTCATGTATAATTCTGTGAGGAGTAAACCTAAAGTAACTCAGTACATCACGGGGAATCGAAAGGATTGCACTAATCTACAAAGTTACATAATACTTGTTTGTTATTCTTTTATACAAAACTTATGCATTGTTATAAATTATTTTTTCGGCAAATATATTGTAATTTATCTTTTATCGAACCATTATGATTTCGTTCTTTCAGAATGATGTTAGCAGGAAACCTCAAGGCCAAATAAAGTTAAATGAACTTTGTCGAGTAAATCGTGCAGAGGGTGCTGCTAATTTTGAGGTAATTATATTAATTGTTTCCAGCTTCTTCATACCTGAAGCATTTTTAAATTTCACACACACACATATATATATATATATACGTTTCTAAAATCTCTAATTTAACGAATAATTATTTTATTTGTTCATTTATAGCTCTTGAATCTAAAATAACAATAATAGGTGTTTTTAAATAACAACAATAAGTGTTTCTAAAATAACAATAATAGGTGTTTCTAAAATAACAATAGGTGTTTTTGTAATTAAAAAACACGATGTTCAGTATTTTAAAAAATGATAAACGAAAATATGCTAAAATCTGTAGCTCAAATGCATGATTTTGATGTTGTTGAAATTTATATACCAATAGGATATTGTGAATTTTTCTAATACTTCGTTTTTTGTTTGTACATAAAAGTGTGCATATTCTATGAAATGTTAAATTTCATTTATTCCATTCTGAAGATGTGGTGTTTGAGTTTTGTTCTTTGCATTATGTATCTATATTGTGTAGGTTTAATTTTCTATAATTTTCTTTATAGCATAAATAAAGCGACATTAGGACTTATTACAGAAACATAAACTTATGAGTTATAATATTTCGTTTACGTTTTCGTTTCATGGTGACAATAATTCACACGTTAGGGTTTATGAAGTCTTTTTTTATCAGTTTTGTTGAACGTGGACATTTTTATACTAAAACTATAAAGTACTGTTGAAAAAAACGTAAAATTTCAAACATGTTCTCGGGACATTTAATTATTATTAAGATTCTCTTAAAACGCTATGTAAATGAAATATGTGTTAAAAGGACATAAAGAAAACTTACATAATACAAAAGGTAATGAAATTGAAAAATACAATTGTAAAAAGCTGGAAAAGGTAATATATGTGTGAAGTTTTACAAGCAAATTCGTAACTTACATGAACGACAAGATGCCAACAAGAAGATGCAAAAATGGATGTAAATAAGGTTGCTGTAAATTTGTAAAAAGAGATTAACAATCAACATTATTTACGTAATAGAGCACCTTTGAAAGGAACATATCGAATAATAGTTATTAAATAACTTTGTAAATAATTTCCAAGGAATTATTTTAATAACTAATTAATAAGCCATGTTTTCATTAATATACATATTATTCACTCTTCTTTACTTTCACTCAGAAGTACATATTAATAAATACATTCTGAATGTTGTTCCTTTTATATGGAGACTGTATTGTTATAAGTTATATTTATAATGCTGTAATAATTTGAAATGATTAGTGCATTTTCGTGAAGTATTCGGGTCTGTGTTTGCTGTTGCGCTTATCGAATTAACTTGTACAAGTGAGTTGGTTTGTTTTGCGTTAGTTAATGACATTTGCAACGTAGGCCTACAACAATTTACGACAGTGTACAAGTGCTTAAGCTTGAAGAAACGCTAAAGGAGGAAACAAAGTAATTTGCCCTCGTCACGTAAACTGAACGTTGAATAATTTTCACTGGATAACTTTTAAAAAATCTGCCAACGAAAGAACAACGCTACAACTGTATGAGTTATCGTGTTAAATGGAAAACATAATTTGCATTTTGATTATTGTTTGCAATGCAAAGCTCTGTTTTACAGTGTGTTTATTGTTGTTTCTTTATTTTGGCAGACTCTCGAAAAAATATATTTGGAAAGTAAAAAATATTAAAATGTTGTTTAAGATTACATTGTATAATAAATCATCTGTCGCTGACACTACATGACCTATTTTTGAAAAGAAATATATTAAATAAATAATATAAAAACTATGTTTATAATCAAATTCTTTTTCAGTACAAAAACCAGTGTTTTAATTTTAAAATAACCAAATAGCTCCATAGTTGAAGAGATTTACAAATAATTGGCCAAGCATGGCCAGGTGGTTAGGGTGTTCGACTCGCAATCTGAGGGTCGCGGGTTCGAATCCCCGTTCCATCAAACATGCTCGCCCTTTCAGCCGTGGGGGCGTTATAATGTGACTGTCAATCCCACTATTCGTTGGTAAAAGAGTAGCCCAAGAGTTGGCGGTGGGTGGTGATGACTAGCTGCCTTCCCTCTAGTCTTACACTGCTAAATTAGGGACGGCTAGCGCAGATAGCCCTCGTGTAGCTTTGCGCGAAATTCAAAACAAACAAACAATATAAATAATTATTTGGTTTTTAAAAAACTTTTATCTATTCAGCCAAATTTGTTGCAGCTTAATTATTTAATAAAATTAAGTTCTAGGCCTAATAAATGAGAAGAAGTCTATTTTGGGCAATCGATATTTTTTTCCACATTTATCGAGTTAGTCTTTCACCAACTTACAATTTTATATCATAAGGTTTGTATTAATCTCTTGTTTTTGTGTGTACGTTCAGTTGTGTACAGATAAACGGACATACTACATGACCGCTGAATCAGCTACAACGATGGAGGATTGGATTAGAGGTAATGTTTTATTTAAAAGTAATTCATTTTTACTCATTTGAGTCGTTAGTATTTTAATTTTACTGGTTCGTCTCTTATGCTATAAAGTCTTTAGACAACTGATATGAATTGTATACTGCTGTATTTACTGATGTTCACGTTACCAAATCATTTTGTGGTTAATCCTAAACAATAAGTCACAGAATCGGATTTGAAATTTTAAGCACTTTCTGGTGATTTGAATAATTCAATAATTCTGTACAATCAATTTTTTAAAAAATGAATTTGCATGTGACATACACATGAACATTAAAAGTAAAATTTTTGTAACCTCAGTCCCAATTATTTTTACTGGAAACAGCTGAAGTGTTGACAAATGAACAGTTTGTTAACGGAAATAGATATTATAATTTCATAAAATACTTAAAGTATTATTTAATGAATAAAGAATGAATTAAAGAAATAGAAACCAAGTAATAAAATTTGTTTTAAGATCAGTAAAAAACATTAACTGACTTCTAACAAAAAAGTGGAAAGCGTTAAATGTAATAAACACTAAAAATGTGAATATATACACCTAATTCATACTCGTAAAAAAGTTTAATATACTTTTTTGTCATAACTTAAGGGAATCTAAAGAAGGAAGAGAAAAAGGTGCGAAAAGATTTGTAACACTGCAGGAAATTTTTGGATTTTCGTTTAAGTTTAGATCTTACATAACTTGAGTGTTATGTTTATTGGTTCGACAAGATTATTTATTCTTTGCTCAATATTTGCTAAGCTTAAGCACTTTAGTTTTGCAGAACGTTTTAAGAAGGCACGCCACACGACTCCTGTTGAGCAAAGAAGAAAACAAACCAACGATAGAAGGATGGTTAACAAAGGTACGAATAATATCCCGACGATAGAACATAACATGAACAATATATGCTGGTTAAAAAACTTCCAAATAACAGCAATGATAGAGAACAAGTAAACATGATAAGAAATAATAACTCAAACAGCAAAAAATAGATTAAAATAACGTCGACAACATAGGGCTGGTTAATAAAGTTAAAAATAACAAGACTAGTGAAAGAAAGCTCGTTATCAAAGACATGAAATAACAGCGACGCTATTAATTCAAAAAGGACATAATAGTAGAAACAAAGCAATTACACAAGCCTGCAAATTTAAACTTCATACAAGTTGTTTTGGTTTTAATAACGGATTTTCCATAATTCAGCTACGCAGATTTCGAAAATAATAATCTTTTTTTTTCTATCACGTATTTTTTACAAATCGGGAAGAAAAAAACTCTTACTTAGATCAAATTATTATTTCATTTATCACAATAAACATTTTTATTATTATGTTTGTTAACACAAAGACAAACAAACTGAAGAAAAGGGAAGAACATTGATGTGAAACGAATATGCATCCTCATTCATCCTGATTTTTTTCTGTGAAATCTACGTCTTTTAGTCTCAAAACTACGTACGCGTTGTGGACTTTCTTTTAAGTATTGCGTTACTTAATAGAGAAAAATTGATATCATTTTCGGATTCAGCGTACAGGGATTAGTGTAAAACATATCAAGACCAACGCAGGCCTGTCTAACACCAATAAGACTAGCGTTATAAACTGGTTATGAAAGTAAAGCATAATAATGATGATACAAATAAAAGTTTCTAAAATAAACTCGAATAATTTTTATTCTTTATTTTTTGATAACTTCAATTTATTCAAAAGTTAATCTTGGCTCAGTGGCCTCGCGCTTTGTATTCGTAGGCGGGTAACTGCGAGTTCGAGACAGGCTCCCCTCCTGCTCTCGTGTCCTTGAGGAACTCGACTCAGCTATTAGTTGGGGGTTAATCTGCAATGTACTAGCATCCAGTCCAGGAAGAATATATCACTGTTTTCATTCGCTTGTGTTATTAAGCTGAAGTTCAGTATCGGATCCTATGTGCTATATTAGGATGATATGGGTTGGACTTTGACCTTGGCCTTGCCTCTAATCGTCTTAAGAGAATTCGTACAATGAAGAGTATAAAACGCAAAAAAAAAGTAATACAGAAGCCAGTATTAAGCTAATCTTGTCGATCAATGAACGTAAAACTACAGCAGTTTTACGTTCATTAATCGACAAGATTAGCTTAATACTGGCTTCTATATTAAATTTTACACGTGAAATGTAATATTTAGCTATCAACCTGACTTAATGTCAGACAACGCGTTATGCAATGTTTTTAGTATTCAGTTTGTTGTAATTTGTTACACAAAGGTCGTCATGCCTAGCTAATTTCTGTCTTGTGTGTATTTATAGGTCAATATGGGGGAACCTGAGGACAAAATTATTCATTTTCTAAGCATTTTTTCATTCGATAGTTTTATAAATTTTATTTTAAATCGTGCGAGTGAATTGAGAAGAGCAAGAATTGATAATGCACGTAATGTTAATCCTGACTTGTATATGTATGTACGTCCTGCAATTAGATTTAGAATGGATTTTTAAATTTGATTTGATTATTGTAAACTATCTTTAAAACGTTCATACGTTATGATTATTCTAATGAAAATGTGAATCAAATGTAAATTATGGAAGTCAATCGTAAACAATATAAAATGTTTTACTTTGCACCTAATCAAGGTTATTTTAAAGTAAATTATGTTTTGGTTCATCTCAATTATAAATGTGTAATGGTCACGTTATACTTAAATGTAAGCTGAAATCACGAATCAATAGTTTATTCAAATTTATTAAGTTAACTATGTTTTATAATTTAAATTTTAAGTTCATTTCTAATTCCGTAAAATAACGTTGCCTGAAAAGAATTAGCTTTGCTTGTTTGTTGTTAAGCACAAAGGTATTGCAATGGACTATCTGTGCTGTGTCCACCACGGGTATCGAAACCCAGTTTTTAGCGTTACAAGCCTTCAAACTTGCCGCTGTTCCTGGGGAGCGGGCGAAGAATTAGCAACAAATGTCTTAATATAGTCGGTACAAACAGAACCTAGTTTGAGCCAAGTTATGAATTTTATTGAAATATCATTTCTTATATTAGTTATATTTCATTAATTTCAGTAAATTAAGGATAGAATTCAAAAAATCTAAAACAAACTTTTACCAACTCGTGGTGTATTTGTTTTTGTTTTACTTGGACTATCAACTTATTTAGCTTAAAAATTGTTACTTATTCAACCTAATTTACATTGTTTATTGACAACTTAGTCTAAAATACTGTAGTGATCAAAGATCATTGTCTATAAATTATATTACTTAAGTATTTTTCTGCATTAAAATATGTAAGTAACTAAAAGAAACAACAACAACAACAACGTAAGCCAGTTTATATTATTTACAGCTAGATTAAAGTTACATTGGACACTGCGTCTTCTTTTGATATAGAGAATCAATGGATGCGATTATAGGATATTT